ATTAATGTGTGACAGCCCTTAGCACAAAATTGTTGCTCAGTAAGTATCAACTTCAGTATCTTCCTTCGACATTTCTTCTGCTTTCCTTGCTGTAGCAAGATAAATAGGTTGGATGTTTCTGGATTTAATCTCGCTGTTTCAAAAAATGTGAAAACATGGTTAGGGTATGCTTTATATGTACATTATTGCCTACCGACAAGTGGCTAGCTGTACTTTGCTCAAATTCTTAGAACCAAGTAAAATTACTCAAAGCTATTAGCAAAAGAAGCTGGTATTTAAGTCAAATAAAAAATATTCTCATCTAAGGCAGAAATATGTTATCTTTCAAAGCTACTAAAGCAAATTTCTCAAAGCAGAGTTATATAAATGCACTAATAATTTCAATATTTTATTTATTATGCTTAATATAAATGGAGCTAACTTGATATTTGCATCATGACAGTGATAATAATTCTAAGTTTGACAAGATTTTTTTTTTGAGTGGTCCCAGTAAGTTTTCAGACTTAGTCAGGTCTATTTGGTGGAGAGGATTAGGACCAAAAGTGAGTCATAGCTTCCACATTCTATTTCAGAGAAGTACAGGGATAGTTAATCATAGTCAAGTTCTCTGGTGATTATATTAGAAGAATAAATGTAGTGTTACATTTTCGTGCAAATCACTCTTCTCGTTCTTCAGCCTAGGAAATATTTAGTTGTCTTAATTTTGTCCCACTTGTAATCACTTATGAATAACTAACATTTCCTATTTTTCTGCTAGTTCGGAATAAAAAGCCTACCATCTTGTCTCAAGGAACTAAAGACTAATAAATATATTCCCTTTTCAGAGTGTAAGAGAGGCATGCCATCACATGTATACATGTTGAACAGATTTGTTTTGATATTTACCATTGTTTATTTTTTCATTTCCTTTTTTCTTCTTTTTAAAAATGCTTCTTGGATTGCTTGTCTATATTCATTTAATTCCCATTTTTAAGATATTCTTCCTTATGTACCCCACTGTGATCCTAGGTCTTAGAATGCAGAACTTTAACAATGGAGCCTGGAGATAGTGATACTGAACATTCTAGCTAATTTTCATTTTTTACCCCCATTAAACCAACTTTAAAATTCTATATTCTTAACACTTTTGCCATTGGCCCACACAACCGTGCTTTTCACCAGTATCTAAAGTGGCTGAAACATCAGCGTCAGGTGGTGGCAATGCCTTAAGGAACATCCTCTCATGTGCAGTGTGGCATCTCTGGGTAGGCGTATTAAGTTATCCTATATTACGTAGGCTAATTTGTGACGAAGTTGGTAGGCTCAACAAAATAAACATACATTTTGTAAAGAGGTAGAATAATCTCCCCACCCAGTATCTTATTTAAATTTTTTAAAAGAGTAATTCCATCCCCAGACTTCCCACACTTCATAGTCTTACATATAACATACACATGGTAGACCCTCACTAGCAAACCTGATAAGAGGATAAATGAGTCTGCAGCACTAGCTGCTCAACCCAATTTGAGTCTATTTTTGCTTATGTAACACACTAAACACGCAGTTATGTGAACTTTTACTTCTTCCCTCTCTAATGCTGTCTGCTTCCTCGGATCATCTCCCACGTAAATAACCTGCACCTGAGTCTTAACTCTGCTCTTAGGGTCACCCCAACTAACAGAAGATTATCAGAAAAATAGCACATGTTACTTTTCAATATCTGAAATAAGTGTAGGACAGGAAGTACAAATTGTGCTGTTCTCTAGAAGACAGAATAAACACTTTTTTAAGGTCCCATAATCTCAATTATAAATGAAAACTTAAGTGACTTTGGCATGCTGTCAACATAAATCTAGCTTTTAAAAAAGAGATCTTCTCTGCACCATGAATTCTAAATCAACTTGGGCTTTTTAATTTTAACCCTTCAGGGAGATTGAACTCACATAGTAGGAGCACTTGTTCTTCAGGAAGCCTGAGGGTTATGAGAAAGGGCAACCCAAAATATTGTAGTAGCTATGAGCTGTGCAGAAGAGAGGCCAACTATGAGGAAAATACCATTGTAAGAACACTTATGTTGATATTTGCCTCCTGGTCTCATATCTTAGAAACTTCTTAGATAAACTCGAAATTTGATTTATCTCGTAAGATTCCCATATAAAAGACAAAGTTGTCATTTATTTGCAATTCATCTAGAGAATTTAAGAAAATATGAGTGTTGTACGTTCCACATTATCCTTTGCTGTGTTTTGGTTCAGCAAGGCCTTCTTTGGACTCTCTAGCGTTCCAATAAGCATAACCATAGAAGAGACTCCTTGCTGAGATCATTGACCCTATGTCCTTTATTATATGTTTCAAGGAGTAAAAGCTCGGACTTGTCCAAGGTCAGATGACAGCAGCAGGCTGGACCTAGGTTTCCTGTCTGTCTTTTGCTGTGATTGGGCCACGTGAAAAAAGGTTCCAATTGGTTATGAAGACTTCCCATAAAGGCTCAGATAGACATACTGGTGTTAATATCAAAAAAGAAGTTCAGAACTAAGATAGGTGTGTATACCATTAAGGAAACATTTTTTAAAACACATTTGTTTTAGCAAGCCACATGCCAAAATAGACATTCATAAAGAAGTCTTGTCTTATTGCTTATATGCTGGGACAAATACATCATTGATATTCTCAGTTTAGAATAAAATCATCGAAGTCATGAATGTTTCTTTCACTATCATCATTATTTTTGTGGATTAAATTCAATGTTAAGTTATAAAACTTTATATAAATTATGAAGTATTTGAAGGTACTTGTTTTCTCTTTTTTGTTGGTTATTTGAGGGATACCAGGAGAATATTTCCTTTCACTTATTTATTTATTTTGAGACAGAGTCTTGCTCTGTGGCCCAGGCTGGAGTGCAATGGCACGCTCTCAGCTCACCACAACCTCCACCTCCCAGGTTCGAGCAATTCTCCTGCCTCAGCCTTCCAAGTAGCTGGGATTACAGGTGTGCACGACCACGCCCAGCTAATTTTTATATTTTTAAGTAGAGATCAGGTTTCACCATGTTGGTCTGGCTGGTCTCAAACCCCCGACCTTATGATCTGCCCACGTCAGCCTCCCAAAGTGCTGGGATTACAGGCATGAGCCACTGCCCCTGGCTACCAGGAAAATATTTCTTATCCCCAGATTTTCTTCTCACTTGTCTCCTTGATGCCTAATAGTTTTCCTTTGATTTCTGCCTTTTGGATTTTCATCATGGTGGGCTGTTGAAGAGATGTCAGTCAATGATACACAATAGCATATCAGCTTCAATTTCTTATTAGTAATCTTCCAGAGAGCTGACACCTGAGGGAATGGCACGTAGGATGGAAAGCTTTTATGTAAGTAATAAGAAACAGCCCCAAAGGAGGGAGATCTGCATTAAGATGACGACAAAGCAGAAGTAAATATTTTTTTTTTAAAAGAGAAACACTCACCAAGAGAGTAGCAGGAGCAGCTGTATCACAGTATTGCATTTCCCATAGTTTTGTCTAGAGTTTGCTCTGATGGCTAATAATTTACAGAGGCTTTGGAGTTTTTCCTTTTAATAACACATTGATTACATTTACATGGTGTTTTGCATGTTATTGAGCACAGCCATAAGCATGATCTTCTCTAAGCTACTCTGTTGGGTAGCCAGGACGGATACCAGAAGCTGCATTTCACAGACAATGAAACTGAAGCCCAGAATTGTTAAGAGGCTGGTTCCAACTCACATAACCAGTGAGTGGAGTAGCCAACAGGGGAACTCTCCTGTTGTGGTTTTGACAGGTGATCTTTTCCCTGTACTGCATGAGAATGGGAAATATTTTATGCTTTGGAGTCAGATGAGCCAGGCTTAAACTTGCCAATTTTCTTGCCAGCAGTGAGACTTTGAATATGTTACTAACTGCCCTGAATATCACTTTCTTCATCCGTGAAAAAATAAAAATAATTCTACCTTGTCAGATTGTTGTGAAATTCCATTTGGTAAAGCAAGCAAAGCAACCAGCTTAGCGCCTGGCACACGGTAGGCACCCAAAATACTTTCCCTGCAGTTAAAGATGAAATGATGAGTAGGGGTAACTTTCCAGTTTGTTCAATGATACCATACCTCCTTGGTTTACTTTAATTCCTGAAATGATCTCCTGTGAAAGAGTGTGTGTGTGCATACGTGGATGCGTCTGTGCATATGCGCACCTGTGTGCATGTCTTGATGTACACCAAACGTACCTGTGCACATCTCTTAGGACACTGAAGTTCTTCTCTGTGTTCCTCATCTCTGTGGAACCAGACATAGTGATCAGACATGGAGTATATTTTTACTGCAAATAGCTAGAGACTGAATCCTGACGATAAAGCTGATCCAACCAGATGGATCCTAGCTCCGTGACATGGCTGACTTCCAGAAGCACAGGCTCTTTTTGCTTCCAAATATCAGGATGATACCTGGAGTTCTGAGTCTGATGACCTAGAAGATTTGGGGTAATTCCCTTTAGTAGACACAGCTGTGGACTCACACAAAATTGCATTCATTTTGGAGTATACTTTATTTACAGTTATTTATTCTTTCTTGAAAACTTTTAGAATCACCTTGACTAAAATAAGTTCATAAAATAATCACTGTATTTGTTACATATGGCACAGAATAATTTAGCACTTTATAAATATGTCTCATTGATGCACAAACGTCAGAAGCACCCTTTGCTAAAAGCAGTACAGTAACTTAGTTCAATTTGGCTACGGTAGCACTTTAAAAAATTAGCATGAGATGGCGCTGTGGCCAAGTAGATGAAGTATGCTTTAAACTGAGTTTCCCCTAACTATGGCAGTTAATTGCCTTTTTTTGAATATAGAGGAATCTATCATTCAACTTAAAGTAGAGCAAGGTTTGTTACTCCGTTATAATAGTATCGATCAAAAGTGAATCCTTTAATCACCGATCCATAAGTCATTTAACAACTGTGTTTCACTCAGGTGTTTAAAAAGCCGTAGTAGTCAGAAAATCGCTGAACAAAGGGCCCAAAGGTATCATTTTATTTAGGATCAAGAAACTATATATGTGGACCACTGTTTTCGCCACCCTCATAGATTTATCTTAAAGTTCTTGCACAAAGTTAGATTAACTTCCAGTTTATTTAAAGAGCTGATATTTTTGTTAAACTTTAATCCGCTTTGACAGCAATGGAAGGTCATAGAAATATTAGAACATGAATTCACATTTAAATAAACATGATACAAACATGCACACATGTGTATATACTGAGTGTTTTCATCGACTTGCTTTTCCTCCATATAAATATATAAATATTGAATAAAGTGCATGAGAACATGTCTGTACATATATACAGCTACACATTTGCCTATACAGTATACACTTGAATACTTATGGAAGAAAAAAACACATATACATTTGTAATATATAGGTAGTCAAAAGACATCTGTCAGGCATCATTAATGTTCATTCTGATCAAGATTGAGTACATGGGGGTAGAATCTGTAATATTTTCCCTACTATATAATGAAATGTGCAGAGTTATAAGTGAAGGCAACATACATTAGAGCGGAGACATTTTAACATCTATATTTTCATCAGTTAGTATGGTGTAATCATAAGGAATAGCTCAGTTCAATTGCAGCCTTGGCACTAGCAGCATATTATACATTCTAGCTTTGAAATAGTGAACCCATTTTTCAATGTATCTAAGAGGACATAATTAGAATTTTATTCATTTCCAAATGACACAAGGACACCTCCCACATTCTTTACTTTTCAAATCTCTATTTTTTCTCAAAGTTTTAGGGCAAAAATGATTTCTCATTCAACAGAAATGCTTCAGCATTGTAATCATGTATCTAACAGTGATTCCAGTAACAACGAGCAATTTAACCTTGAGTGTTATAATATCAAGGTACATTAACAGTTGTTAATCTCTTTTGCTCTTTAGCAACTATTTCTACAAAACATTATAATGTCTGCTTTTCTATTAGGGATCCCGGTGCCAATGAGTAGTACTGAAATGAGCGAGTTTTTGGAGAAATAAAAGAAAAACTTTGCTCAAAACTATGGTAGTTGTAAGCTAGGTCGAGATTGAGGTGCATATTTCTAAATTAATTGCAATGTTAAGCCTCAGTGGTATTTTCCCCCACCTTTGCTTGTTTGGTGTTTATTGGTAACCAATCAGAAAAACTTATTTTTGAAAGCTACTCTCATAGTTGAAACAAACTTGTTTCTGAATCAGGTAAGAAGGAAATAAATTGAAAGGACTCTCAAAATAAGTCTGTTTATATTTTTTTACTAGGACCATTTCAGTTTGGTCTTTTTGTGTGTGTGTGTGAAATGCAGTTGTGTGAACTTTGGCTCACTGCAGCCTTGACCTCCTGGGCTCAAGTGATCCTTATGTCTCAGCCTCCTGTGTAGCTGGGACCACAGGTGCGTGCCACCACGATCAGCTAATTTTTAAATTTTTTGCAGGCACGGGGGCGGGGGTCTCACTTTGTTGCCCACGTTGGTCTCCTGGGCTCAAGCAATCATCCCGTCTCAGCCTCCCAAAGTGCCAGGATTACATGCATGAGCCACTGTGCCTGGCTGAGCCATTTTCTTTAAAGGTAAGGATTTTGTTTTAATTGTATTTCTCACATCTAGAAATTTGCTTCACACATAAATATACACTCAATAGATGATGGTGGAACCAAGCTGAATGGTTTTAATAAATAATATAAACTGATTGATTAGAAAGCATCAATGTCCCTGATGAATGTCATAGGAAAGTCACCTGCTTTTTACAGAGATGTCCTAAGACTCCACTACTGTCAGTAGCCAGAAACCTAAGTTCAACCTCAACCCTGACACAGTTACATCAATATACTGTTTACTGCTCAAAAGAGTGCATGCATGATGCAGTCATTTCACAGCAAGTTACCAAATACCTCTATGGTGCTGTTTTAGAGGAGTCATTGCTAGAAATGTATTTGGTAATGTTAAATCATCCTTTTGCTAGTTTACCTAGAAGAACAAATATTAAACAAGACCACATCGGAAATTCAGAGTAAAGCACAAGAAGTAGAAGAGAAAGCAGCAATAGTTATAGAATAACATTTGAAATCTTTTTTTACTTCTGAGAATTAACTTGAAATGCAGCAAATACCAGCAACCTTGTGAATATTTCAAAATGGTATCTATGAAAAAGCAAGAATGAAATATGTTGTCAAGTATTTCATTTAATTATCTTAGCAATACAGATTTTGTAACACTGACCTTAGTGTCTTTTTTCTCCTTTCAAAATATATACCATGTAAGTTTTAAAGAGAATTTTTCTTTAAGAAGTCATTATATTCAATAAAATTTTCACTATTCATAGCTATTTTTATTTACAGCAATAGGTAACCACCTCAATCCATGCCATCAATGAACAGCATAGCAGCAAGGTTTCCATTTGAAAATAGAAGTTAATTTAGATAACTTAGGGTTTCATAATTATACAATAAAACTGAATCATTTTAAAGATGTATCATTTACAATGTTAAAAATAAGTATCAGAAAGCTCACAGCTGAAATGCTGTCAGACCATTTTCCAAGTGCACATTTTGTAGCATTGAACCCAGCTTTTCACTGACAGAATAAAATGAGGCGTACAGATATGATCGTTGGTTTCACTAGACTGGTCTAATATTTTCCAGTCTCTCTTTTTTTTTTTTCCCCCCCAGATAGGTGAAACCTTGCTCAGTGTGCCTTCCACAGTTGCCACGGCAACTAGCTTTTCACACACAGCTCACCTTTTCATTTACGGCGTCGGTATTGTCTTTAGAAGCATCTTCAGAATGCTGCTTTCCTAGAGCCACCATCGAGCAGTCATTCTCTGTTGTCTTGGCATCTTTCTTTGAATTCTTTTTTTGTCCCATTTGGAGTTGGCTCGACTTGTAGGCCAAAGCCGGTATAGTGTTCACTAAAATTAACTGCAATGGTTTTTTGTTTTCCTTGTACTGACACTGAATATACCGTGAAAAGGCTGACCGATAGGTCTTGTTGAACAGTGTGTACACCAGGGGGTTGACTGCTGAAGAGAGATAACCGATCCAAACAAAAACATTGAGCAGGGCTCCGATGACATCCTCGTTGCAGGACTCTTTGCAGATGACGGCCATGATGTTGGTGATGAAGAAAGGGCACCACATCACCACAAACAGGAAGAAGACGATGCCCAGCACCTTGCATGCCTTTTGCTCATTGCTGATGGACTGCATAGTCCTCCTGCCTGTGTAGGATCCTGGCTCCCTGTGGATCGACCGTTGGAAGAGCTTTTCCGAAGACAAGGAACTCTGAGGGAGGAAGCTGAAAGAAGCTAATTTGGCCCGTGTGCCAAGATCACTTACACACAAAGTAGCTTCTTTCTGGAGTGACTTGATGGTTAGAAAGTAGGTGATCACCATGATGGTTAAGGGAATGAAAAATGACACAAAAGAGCCGATCAGGACAAAGTTATCATCGGCGAGTAAGCAACTCCCCTCCTTAAAGACCTTGGAATCATCCTGTAGCCCAAAGACTGGTATTGGCATGGATATACCTGGAGTTGGACAGAGAATGAAACATGATTATTAAGGAATTGAGTATATAAAGGCAAGAGCATCACCATGCAATGTTGGCTATTGAAAACATTTTATATCAACATTATTTAAAAACTTAACATGCTTGATTCAGAATTTAAAATTCCTTTGGACTTACTTATGTGTTTTATAAGTATTTATTATGTAGTTCCTTATATGTTTTATTGCCCTATATAGTTAACCCTTTGCTTATTAAGAAGTATAATAAATCTAGCTTTAATTTTTTATGCCACATGTTTCTGATTATAGTATTTTATATATATATATATATATATATATATATATATATATATTTTTTTTTTTTTTTTTTTTTAGACGGAGATTCACTCTTGTTAACCAGGCTGGAGTGCAATGGCACGATCTCGGCCGTTTCACCATGTTGACCAGGATGGTCTCGATCTCTTGACCTCGTGATCCACCCACGTCGGCCTCCCAAAATGCTGGGATTACAGGCGTGAGCCACCTCCCAGCATATTATACTTATTAATTGAAGAAACACACAGAGGCAAATAAACTAAGAAATGACCAGTAACATCAACATCTAGAGCTAGCCAAAATTAACAAATGATGCTGTTCATTTTATTTATTTATATATTTATTTATTTTGGCCTATCAACATCTAGAATATAGATTTATTTCATTTTTTGATGCTGTTCATTTTAGATAGAGACACACACACTCACCATGTGCACATATTTTAAAACAGAGTTGAGGTTCTTTTTCACAAACAGTTCTGTATCTTATTAAAAAAATCTAATGGCCAGGCGCGGTGGCTCAAGCCTGTAATCCCAGCTCTTTGGGAGGCCGAGGCCGGTGGATCACGAGGTCAGGAGATCGAGACCATCCTGGTCAACATGGTGAAACCCCGTCTCTACTAAAAATACAAAAAATTAGCTGGGCGTGGTGGCGCGTGCCTGTAATCCCAGCTACTCGGGAGGCTGAGGCAGGAGAATTGCCTGAACCCAGGAGGCGGAGGTTGCGGTGAGCCGAGATCGCGCCATTGCACTCCAGCCTGGGTAACAAGAGCGAAACTCCGTCTCAAAAAAAAAAAAAAAAAAAAAAAAAAATCTAATGATATCTCACAAGCATGGTATATATAAAAAAACTATAAAATTATAAATATAGTATATTTTCTCTCTAGAAAATTTGGGAGGTACAAAAATGTAACAATGAATAGAGAAAAATAATATGTATTCTCACCAGCCAGGGGCAACCATAATTTACATTTGTGTAGTTTTTTCTTCCACCTACATGTACATATAAAAACAAATGTGTATATGCAGTACTTTTATGCAGTATTTTATATCTTATATGTTTTAGATCTTCCTATTTCATTTAACATTATAAATCATGATAATTGCACATAAAGTATTTTTGAGAAATACAATTTTCTAATATTAACTTTAAACAACTTTAATTTTGATTCTTTTTTAAAAAGCTTTCATTATGGAAACTTTTTAAAAGACACACAACTAACCAAAAACCAAACCCAGTGCAGTGAACTCATCACCCAGCTTCAAAGATTATCAGCTCAAGACCAATCTTGTCTCATCCATATGTCCTCCAGCTGCCACCCCTCCCATGGTATTAAGAAGCAAATCCTAGACATCATGTCATTCAATCTGAAAATATTTATTATATAGATCTAAAAGCTATGCACTCTTAGACAATCTAATATTTTCACAGTACTATTCTCACTCCTAAATAGAAGTTTACTATTTCCTTAATATTAAATATAGAGTTAGTGCTCAAATTTCCAATTGTTCCATAAACGTTGTTGTATGTTTTTAGTAGGAGAGCATTCATAAGGGGTGGGTTACAAAAAACAAGACAGCCATGGACTTTGTATTTACAAATATAAGGGGTAGGTACAGGAAGGGATAATACATGGGAACATGCGCCTGCATGGTCCATTCTGTGTCACCCAGATTTAGGGGATCTGTAAGGCTTTACCAGGCAGAAGAATTAGGCAGAGGAGGAAGCAAAAGTGAATAAACGCAACCCCTGACCTCTAATCATGCTACATTACCCCCATGAGAGTAGAACCTTTTTAAGGAGCGATTCAACAGGCCATGTTGCGCAGATTCACCACCCAACCCCCACCATGGACAACCTCTCTACTCCTGGGGAAATAGGTGTATCTTTCTCTGCTGGCCTGGGACAGTTGATCCAAGGCAATCGTGAGTGAGACGGCTTATTCTCCCTGCTGTAAAGATAGAATTAGGATGACAAAAAAAGAGAGGAAACATGAATCAAGTACTCTGTATAACTTAGTTTAAGATTGTTTCTTTCATGAAGTGGTAGATGTCACAGGCACAGCCATGGAGAAAAAGTCAGAAAAAAAGTTCCCTTCTAACTCCTGCCCAAATTTTCAGCACACTCAGAACCATAGAACATAGAGTGTCCTGGTTACTGCTTCTGACCATCTTTAGAGTCCAATACGTGGTCTCAAACCAGCTGAGAACACCAGTTTATTCCAGAGTTGGGGGCCACTGCCTGACTCTTCCCATCCATCTGGAAAAAGCTCTTTGGAGGATCTCTAATCTAACTTCTGCATACTAGGAACAGAGTTCCGCTTCATCCAACCACAGACATGACTGTGCTAACCGCATGTCACCTCACATTGGGCATCCTGACCAGGAGAGAACATTAGCTTGAGTTGATGTAATTTTCAACAAAAATGTTTCTCAGTGACATTTGCCATTGTCTTCAAAGACTTAACTGACAGTATTTGTCACTTGCCTATGCAAGCCCATCCAGAATTCTTGGAAGGTGGAGAGAAATGACATCAGAGCTGTTCATAAGGACACTTATGTGGCTAACGACCCTTCATTTCCTCCATCCCTCTCTGTTCCTGGCCCACTGTTTGGAACATTCAGGAAGAGACTGATGAGCTGTGCCTCCAAGCAGGACATCCTCCGAGGCCCTGGATATTGACCAATTTTGTTTATCCAGGAGAAAACTCTTGATTGTGAAAGTGAAGGCATGATTTTTAAGAAGAGTGTTTTTCTCCAAGTGTTGGAATCTAGATCTGTGAAAGATGTTTCCTGTACTCGTGTACAAGGTCTTGTTAGACAGCATAGTTGCTCGCTGATGAGAAAGGCTGCTTTGTTCATCTATTTGAGACATACCTGGATTTGAGTCTTGCCTGTGGCTCTGGGTTCCTGAACTGATTACTTACTCCTATAGTCCTCACTTCTTCATCTATCATAGGAGGCTGGCACCAACCTACTTTCATGCATGTGCTGAGGATAAAATGGATCCCATTTGCAGAGCACTGAGCACAGCACCCAGTCCAGAGTGATGTTCTACCAGTGGTCAATAAACATGAGAGTAGCTTTCTCTGCAGAACTATTTAGATTAAGTACATCAACATTATTTTATTCTAATCCATTTTGCTTAGATTGTATATACTAGATTTTATGTAGCAGATCTTTTTAAACCAAAAGAGGCTTAAAAGAGTTTTGGCTATTGGCCATAGAGTTAAAACTGATGTAATTATTAGCTTCTGCCAGGGTGACACAGGGTCTCGATCAATTTTAATTTTGTACAGCTAGAACTGTTGATTACTTTCTTAATGTGATGAATTACAGCATTACTATTAGTAATAATACACATAAACAAAATATCAACTGTCTGAAAAAGATGTGTGATTTTGTTATTAAACTCTTGAGTGTTCATTTTTTTAATTAATACAAAGGAAGTTACTACCTTGAGAGCCTTTTGCTCTATTTGCTTGTGACTTAGTAATTTACATAAGTGGCAATTCTTAATTAACCAGAATGTGGGCTTACCTAAAATGCCAATTCTTTAATTATTTGAAATAGGTTCTTTGGTTGGACACACAGACACACACACACACACACACACACACACACACACACACACACACACACTTCCAGAATAGCCCACGTTCTGAGAGGGGTGATGGAGTCACCTGCACTGTAATAGAGAATCCCTCTCTTAGATGCTTAGATAAACAGCTACTCTAGAAGAGGATGCGGTAAGAGGTTACAGGCAGAGTTGTTCTGTCTGGCAGGGGGACCTTAGTTTGGAGGGGGGAATCAAGCTGATCAGCTAGTTTAAATGGTCCATTCATCTTTGCATGTAACAGAAACATCCTGAATACTGTCACATGCCATTCTTTTTCCATGCCTCACTCATAGTAACTGGTCAGCAAGGGTTGGAGAAAAAATAACCAGAAAGTTAAAGTAATACTCTCTAAAGAGGAGAGGAAATTTTATATCAAAAAACTAGTACACATAGATAGGCCTTGTGGGTACAATAAGCAGCTCAAAAGCATGTGCCTCTACCAAGAGAGGTGAAGACATGGGCTGATACCCAATATTGTGGTCACAGCCATCTCCGGGGCATTAATTCTCTGGCTGCTTTGTTTGATAATAGCTGCTTTTGGAGACCTGACATCTCCTCTCCCTTCAAATTTCTGCATATAAAGCATTTTCCTTTATGACCAAAACAGACAGTAACTTGAATTACGTGACTATATTTTGTTTAATATATTTTTCTGAGGAGTGGAAAACAGCAATCAAAATTCAATGGCAGTATTGGATCCTCCATGTACCTTTTTATTTATTTCCATTAAAACTCAGATAATAAAATGAACGGGAAACATTGACACCTGAGAACACAAAAACTTTGGTTGGTGTCTTTCTTTTGGCATAGCTCTGCTGATTTTCTGCACATAAATGTTACCACAGACTGGATACATAACTCACTTTGAACCACTGACTGTGAAGGACTGGCTTCATTCTTAATGATGGACTTTTTCTGAGACAGTGTCCATTTCTTGGGAAATAAGAAGATTGCCTTCGTTGATAACCATCCTCTTGTAGGGAATGAGACTGTGGCAGTCCCTAGGGCCCTCAGCCGGAAAGGAGGTGGAGGGCACCCAAGTTATTTTGGGGCTCTTGTGAAAAAGATCAAAATTTAGGTTTATAGG